ATTGCCTACATGACCCCAATCATTACACATATCTCTTTTTTTTTTTTTAATTTTTTTCCATTTATTTTTATTAGTTGGAGGCTAATTACTTTACATCATTGCAGTGGTTTTTGTCATACATTGAAATGAATTAGCCATGGATTTACATGTATTCCCCATCCTGGTCCCCCCTCCCACCTCCCTCTCCACCCTACACACATCTCTTTTGATCAGGATGTTTGATCTCCTGCAGAAAAAAAGTATCCAGAAGATATTAATAGACTGATGTGGGTATATCACATTGTTTCTCAGCAGGACTATAGGCTATACAGATATTCCCATGGGCAAACCTGACTGTTTACAAATTTGAGACATATTTACCAAATAAGGAGTTCTTTTTTTGATGTGGGGTGTATACATTTCTATTTACTCTCATTGTTGCCATCAAAAGGTACCAGAGTGTTACCTCTAAGGACAGAAACTGTCAGCAAGCCTCAAGACACCACCTTTAGCTGGGTTTTTTACCTGAACCAGTTCCAAGGAACAAGGTAAGGTCCACACTCCCTTTAAGCTTTGCCCCCGAGGGGCGTCCCCTTCAGCCCTCGACAAAGATCTGAGCAAGAATCACTCACTGACATCATCAGTGGTCCTTGGGCCCTGTCCTTTCTGGACCAGCATGAATGAGGCTCTGCAGACTCAGAAGTGTGCATTAAGGAATGGAAAGGGGGTGGACAACCTACGTATCTTTAGAATAGTGTCCTCCCTTCTCATATCTGAGAGAAAGAACTACGTGGAAGCTGTATTTCGTTAATCCAGAATACACTGCTAGGTAACATTGTTGCTTCTATGTGACATATAACATATATACTTCTATGTACATATAACAATGTTATATGTATTACATTTGTACTAAGAAGATTGGTCCTGTTAGAAAGGTTGTCTTCCTAAATGCATGGTTTCTAGTACATGCCTAGGATACTAACAGCATATTAATAGTGAAAATAACAGAGCTGATAAAGTTAAACATTAAACAGTATTTCATTATAGCACATAATGTTATCCTTTATGAAAGGTAATTGTTTTCTCCCTAATAAGAGTTTAGTTAGACTATTAAATGATAAGCATAATGGTTGAAGAAATGTAATAATTCATTTTGAAACATGTAGTTAATTAACATATAACTACTTTGGGAGCCTCTGAAGTTAGTTAATAGTTATCTCAAATAAAATATATTCCTTTTGGAGGGAAAGAGAAAATTGATTGTAGCTGAAACACTGGAGTTTTACATTGTTTACAAAAAAACCACTTTTCCATCTTACAACGTACATCTCCAGTAAATGTAAGTTAAACTCAGCTCTCCCCTTTATGATCCAATATTGGTTTATCAAAAAACTAAATCAAATCTAGCAAAATAAATTATTTTTGTTGTTGTTGTTGTGTAATTTTCTCCCTTATCTTTTCTGGGCACTTCAGAGTGTAAAGCTGTTCACTTACTAAAGGAGAGAGTTAAATTTGTTAATATGAATATATCACCTCTTCTTGCCTAAAAACAGATGTGAAACTTGTAGAGATTATTTCAGTGAATTATCTTCAGCTTTTTGTAGGAAACTTCCATTTTGTTGTTTTTAAACTTTGCTGGTAACTATCATAGAATTACATAGCTTTAGACTTCAGAAACCATCCAGTCCAACTACCATTTCACGCAAAAGATAGGGGAAAGTCTAAACAATTTGCAAAACCAATTTCACATTTTTGTGTGATTCAATTTACATATAATATACTTCAGTTTGCCTTAACCAGCACAAATTAATTTAGCCAATCAGATGTGTTAATAGTCTGTACAACACACATATTTCTGGTGATTGTAGAGCTCCAGAAAGTTCATTCTGGCAATACCACAAGTGGAAAAGCTCAGTAGAGATTCTAAATCCATGCACTCTTTTATGAAGTTGAAAAAGTTTGTTAAAAAGGCTCATCCAAACTGAGGGCACCTAGTCATTTCAGCCTGTGCAAAAATGGATGAACTAACACATGAACTGTCTGAGCCTTCATTGGCAGATCTCATGAATCTAAAGACTGACTAAATACCAGTTTTGTCACGGTTGTTTATACATCTAAGTATCTAATAAGCTGAGCTGAAGTGTTGGCATATATATAAATGGGTGATAGAAGCATTCATTCAAGAAATCCATTGTCTGTCCCATTTAAAAACTGTAAGATAAAAAAGGATAACAGTGATTACTATCAAGGCTTTTTTGACTGGTATAATTTGGGGTGCAGTGGAAGATAGTTCTTACTGGTATTTTTTAGAAAAAAATCTAGCTTTTGATACAGTAAGATTTAGAAAGAAAGATTATATGCAAATTTAAAATAATGTGAGATTGGGCTAATTTCTTTTTTCACTGCAGCAAGATGTTTTTCCAAAAACAGATTTACACCAAAATATTTTTTCATAGAAACGTCACACGCTTCCACTATGCTGGAGGGGAGTCCAAAGACACCCGGCTTCACAGGGATGCTGCTGAGAGCTGGCTGGGAAAGACTTGTCACTAGGCGGTGCTCTCCGGAGAGCAGCGAGAACTCCATCTACAAACGGAAGGGAAAAAGGAAAAATACCTCTTTTATCTGCCTCAGAGCAGTTTGATATGAGGTTTTACTTTTCTAGAGTACACCTTGACAGAAAGTTCACGTTTTAGTCATTGCTTGGAGAAAGAAAAAGTTCACTGAGAAATCAAACCATCTCCTTCAAACACATACCCCCGCACAAGTGTGTGTGCAGAAGGGGTTGCGTTTTAGATGACCACGATTTTTCAGCTCTATTCTATTTACCCCACCCGACTCTGCCGAACACTTTCCTGAGGACGCGGACCGCCGGGAGGGAGCGAGAGGAAGACACGCGGAGACTAGCGCGGAGTCCGGCCGGGGTCGCCGCGCGCCCGCAGCGTCCCGGGCGCATCCAGCCGGCCGGCGGCCGCCGCGCTCGCGGCAGAGGTTTCCATTCCCGCCGCCGCGCTCCCTGCGGGTATTGCGCCGAGAATACCTTTCCCAACCAGATCGCCGGTTTGGAGGAGGTCCAGCTCTTGCCCAGAAAGGGCCAATAAAATGGGAAAGTGCGCAACTGATTGATAATACATTTTACAAGAAGAAAAATTAAAGGAGGTAAACTGTTGAATTCTCACAAATGGGCCTGCCTACAACCTAAAACTTTCTGCAAGACGCGGGCCTGGACGGAGGGCCCGGGAGCGCTCCCGAGGGCGTTGCCGAGACAGCCGGCGAGCCCGGGGCCGAGGGTCCAGCGCGCTGTCCTCCGGGGGCTCGCCGGGCGGGTGAGGGTGGCAGGGGGCCGCCGCGGTCCAGCCAAGGGGCTGTGTCCGGGGGTCCCAGCGCTAACCCAGACCCTGCCCTCGACCTGTCTGGGGCGAAGCGACCTCGCCCCCGGGAGTGGTCCCCAGCCTCGCCGGCAGATCCCCCAAAACACACAGACTCTCGTAGACTTATTAAATGTGAGGCAATCAGGCAGCTCCTTTTTTAATAGCCCGAGATCTACATTTAGACAAAAACAGATCCGAGTTCCTGGTAAAGGCGTTTCTTCTCATCCTGTCATAAGTGACAGGAACGGAGGGAAATAGACTGAAGGAGAGAAGGGGGGTAGAAGGGGAGGAACAAGGAGGGGAGGGAGATGGGAGAGGGGGCCGCCGGGGTGGAGGTGCAGGGTAGGCAGAGGGGGAGAGGGAGGGAAATGGGGGAGACGGGGAAAGGGGGATCGGGTGCGCGGGGAGAGGGGGTGTAGGAGGGGGTCGGAGGGGAGGGGAGGGGAGGAGACGAGGAATGTGGGGAGAAGGGGCGGGGAGACGGGGAGAAGGAGGGGGAGACGCAGAGGGGCGATGCGGGGGGGGGGCAGACGGGGTGGGGAGACGCGGAGGAGATGGGGGTGGTGAAGGGGGTGTCTGACGAAGATCCGCGCGGGGATACGAACACTCCGGCGGCTTCTAATTAAAGACCCGAGCCGGGCCCTCGGGGACCCGCCTGACGTCGGCAGCCGCGGGGATAAGAGGCGCCCCGAGGTCCGAGGCCGGACTCCGCCAGCCCGCACCCCAAGCCACCGCGAGTTCCACGCCCGCAGCTCCGAGGCGCCGCGTCCCCTCCTCGCGCGTCCAGTGCGCCCCGCGGCCGGGCGCCGCCGGGGATGGAGTAGGGAGCCGGGCGCCAGCTCCGGGGCGCGGGGACTGACGCCGGAAGACGCGCACGGCTGCGGGGCGCGTGGACGGGCGACCCGGCCGGGTTCCTGCGCGCAGGTGGCCTCACGGCTGGCGCCGGGCAGGTACGAGCCGGGCTCCCTCCACAGGGCCAGGGGTTTTCCAGAACCGGGCACAGCGGGCGTCTGGGGAGAGGGTCTCGTCGCGGGGGCTTCTCGGCGGAGATCGGGAACACAGGGAGGAGGGAGCGACCGCCACACAAAGGCGCTGCTGGAAACTTGAGCCCGGCCGCCGGGCGGGGCGCCCACCTCCCGTCCCCCGACTCGCCTGGGTGCGCTGCGGATCCCCGAGGGAGACGCCTGGGCCCGAGCCCCCGAGCCGCCGCTGGCCCCTGCTCGGAGCCCGTGGGGGACGGAAAGTTGAGGCGCCGCGCCGCGGGGCTCCGGCCGATGAGCCATCTTCAGGAAAGTTCGGGGCCGCGGCGGGGCCGAGGCGAGTACCGCCGGGAGCGGAGGGCGCGCGGCACCCACGGCGCGCTCTCCACGTCGCCGCGAGGGGCCTCGGAGAGGGGGCGTCCTCGTGCGGACCCCGCCCAGCCTCCCGCCCCGGCCCCGCAGCGGCCCTCCCGGTCCGGACGGCGCGGGGCGCCCCTCCACCGGCTTGGCGCGCGTCCTCCGGGGCGCGGGGGCCGGGGCGCGCGGTCCGAGGGGAGTGGCCTCGCCTCCCTCCCTGCCGACCGGCTCTCCGGGTCTCCCCGCACCCTGTCCCTCCAGCGAGCCGAGCTCCGGGAGCGAACCGACCCCACCCGGCGCGGACGAGCGCAGAATGCACGGACCCGGGCGCCCCCTCCTGCTGGGGCTGCTGCTCGTGCTGGGGGCGGCGGGGCCCGGCAGGGGCGGCGCGGAGCGCCGGGAGGCCGCGGACCGACAGACGCTGCTGCGGCTCATCGTGGAGATCGTCCAGGAGCTCAGGAAGTACCACTCGGGGGAGTCCAAGAGGCTGCAGCTCTCGGGCCAGCAAGACTACATCCTGGGCCGCAGGGAGGTCGCCGATCACCCTTACCCCGAGGAGCAGAGAGTGGGTGAGTCCCCGCCCGCCCGCTGTGGAGGCGAGCGCGCCGCCTGCAAAGGCCTCCTGCGTGTGGGGCTGGCCGAGCCCCCGGCTCTGCCCGTCCTGTATCAGGGGACGCGAGAGGATCCAGGACTTGCTTGGAGATAGAACTCTGAGAACGCATACGTAGTTTTAAAATATAAATGCATTTCTACTGTTTTAAAAAAAAAGCTGGGAAATATTTTTATTTAAAAAAGGATATAGGAATTCCATGAATGATGCTTGGCAGATAACATAACTACCCCTCATCCACATCTAAGACGTGTGAGTGGTTACACTGGTCGGTAATTTCAGCATGGAACTGTCATCTGTTATTTTGGAAATGGAAATATTTTCAGCAAAGCAGTTTCAACTGAGACAGAAATGTTTCAGAATCCCCCACCCCCATCCCCACGGCAGAGCCTTCCCAGAGTGGCTGCCCTCTGGGAAATTTCCAAGGAAAGCATGCAAGCTTTTAATGCTTTCATGACACAATCAGGTCAAATATGATAAGGTCAATTTTATATAGACTGACTAAAGTTAGTTGTAAACGAAGACTGACATTTAGGAGATGTCTAAACCTTGCAAGTAAGATTCTTATGGAAAATTTCCCTCTTTGAATGAGGAGAATTGGTGGTAGTGTGACCACATGCCATCACATTACCAGTGCAGACCAGGTGAGTAAAAATGAATCCAGATGACTGTTAAAAAGAGCAAACACAAGGCTGAAAGCAGAAAGGATGTCAGTCAGGCTAGTCACCAACTCCAGCTACGACTGCGCAGACACATCTTTCCCTGGGAACTGTGCTTTTAGCTCCTCTACGTGGTTCTGTCTGTTTGCATGCATTCATATCAGCCTTCACAACAGGTGGTACTGACAGAATCTCACCCTTTTTCTAAGTAAATACCTAGAAGAATATGCCTATAGCAGATTTTTTTTGTTTGTTTAAAGGATGATATCAGGTTTTCTTCTTAGAACTTTGAGAGATTGTTGAATTTGATTCTCTAGGTCTTCAAGATGAAAATGTCTAGAGTGATTTATTCACTGGAAGATAACCGTCACACACACACCCACACACACACCCACACACACACACACTTCATGGTCCCTGACTCTCTCCTGGTGGTGGAGATTGGTGTTAGTAGTGGATCTTGGAGAGTTGTGAACCTGATTTGAGGACAATGTGCCCACTCACTCGTCCTCATATTGCCATGTACAGCGATCAAGGGACTGCTGTGATTGCTGTTTATAGCAGAATATCCAGTAATTTTAAACATCCACTTCAGATCACATGAGAAAATGCTTCTTTTGGTCAAGTTAATAATTTATTTCTTTTCCCTTAAACAGAAATTGTCCCTCGAGATCTAAGGATGAAAGACAAGTTTTTAAAACATCTTACAGGTAAGCTTTCCGCTCATTCCTTTGCCTCTCCCCAGGTACTGGCCTCCAGGAGCTCTCACTATCTGTTTCCTCTTGTGCATTCCAGGTCCTCTGTATTTCAGCCCAAAGTGCAGCAAACACTTCCACAGACTTTACCACAACACCCGAGACTGCACCATCCCCGCATGTAAGTGACCGCATCTGAATTGCTGGGCCCTCCATCTGGGTGAACAGGCGCCTGCCTGCCTTGTGTCACCCAGACTTGCGAATATTTACTCCCTGTTGACTCTGCAGTCAGGGGCTGGGCTGAGTAGACCATTGAGGAAGATAACGGCAAGCAGCAGCTAGTGCCAGACAGAACACGGTTTACACTTGCTGGAATTAATGAACTCTTGGAATGGGCTGGACTCTTCCGTGCATTTCTTGAATTCTGGCCTCGCGCCTGTCTTTGTATCCACTCAACTCTAACAGTGGAGCAAACACTTAAGATGACTTGCTGAGATGACTACTATAGGGGTGTAAAGTATTGAAGGATGGGTCTGGACCATTTCCACCGCCCTGGCCACAGACTTTTTGTTTCTACCAGTAATTATAACCTCATCACCCAAGAATTTTACTGCTATTTCAAAACTTTGCTCTTCTGCTTGGCTTCATTATTCACTCAGAAATGCAGGTGCCTCCTCCATGTGGCTCTCAGCTGTAACTTTCTGGGTTATCCACAACAAAACGGATTTCATTTCCCCCAAAAATGGCTCCCTGTGCTCTTCACAAAACATGCAGTGATGACAAGCAGCTTAGTAGGTAGAGTGACATGTGCTAGAGCCCTAAACCAATTTTTTTGTGTGTAGGGACCACAACTTTCCATCCCTTTAAGGCTCACAGGAGGACAGCTGTGCAAATAAGTCAAGCCTCTTAGGAGCTGTTTTCAGGACCATCCTTAAGGGCAGCAGACCAGATCTGCCTGTCCTGCTCAAAACACTAAGCCCCTTTCCATGAAGGGGAAACTGTCCTGAGTAGGCAGCAGAGCCACCTCATGGAGCTCTCCCACCCCCAGACACAGCAGGAAGGCAGGGAGCTCCTCCTGGAGGGAGGGGCCGTGGCCTCAGTCAACGCTGTCACAGGGCCAGCGGCACACGCGCTATCTGTGGGCTTTGCAGACGCCACAGGCTCATCCACAGACCCTCCCGGGGAACCCCCCCCCCAACACTTGCTGCCTCTTCAGCTGACATAACTGAGTCACCCACGATTCTCCTGGTCACCCAGAAGGTAAGGTGGCAGGATCAGGGCGCATCATGGCTACACCTGGACCTGGAGATAGGTCAGTGCCCTGGACGCGTGGCTGCTCACACGCCTTCCACCAGCTCATAATGAGCTGTGGAGCCGAATCTGGGCACGTCTGTGCAGTTCAGGGCTGAATACAAGGGTTCCCAGAATCCTGGCAGGTCAGACAGAAGGAACAATAGACCTTCTCACTCAAGGTGTGATCTTGGGATGAGCTCCTTTGAAGAGCAGGACTTTTGAGTCCGTCACACCCACTGAGCAAAGTCTGCACCTTGAGGGGACCCCCCTCCAGGTGGCCATCAGAGTGAACATGCTGTTCTGCAGGGAGATGGTTGACCTTGGGATCTTAGGGCATGCGTCAAATGCCGGTGTCTTTGAGCTCATATAATCCAGTGTATCACATATGGTCTGTTTAGGAAAACCACATCCTAAAAAACGTGGTGCATCTGGTGAAGAGCCAAAAAGTCAGGAGTCCCAGTGACCCTGCTTCCAGCTGTCAGATCATCCTTTGAGTCCAAATTATGTCCTGTAAATATTTATCATGTGTAATTTTTGAAGAATTAACTGCTTGTCTACCATGCAGTGCATATTTATTGCTGTCAATTTATTCATTCACTCGGAATTTTGGCCAAGAGTATGAACTCTTCCGTCTTTAAGTAAGATTCTGTGACTCTTGAGAAGTCAACTCTGCCTTGAGGAATCCCTGTGTGGGCATGACTGCTGAGCTGCCTGTCCTCTGAGGCAGCACCTACGAGACGAATGGCACAGGAAACCGCGATTGCTAGGAAGGCCAGGCTGCACTCAGAAACCAGCCCTTGCTTCCCTCCATTGTCCAGCCAGGTGTTTTCACTCTGGTACTTGGCTGCTGACCCACTGTCTTTAGAATTTTTGTGTGGAAGGCTTTATGTTATGATCAACTCAAGAGGGGACCCGGCCTACACGTGACCTACAAGTTAAATAACACAGGGCACAGAAGACTGTCTGCCAGGAAGCAAATGAAAGCCATTTTGATGAGCCCAGCAACCACTGTGAGGAGCAAACAGGCAGAGAGCAGGCGTGTGGACGTCCGCGTCCCTGCCGCCATGGCCCCAGTCACATCACTTATCTTCTGTCACGTGACACTCACGGCCCTGAGGTGCCATAAATTATTAAGTCAGCAGCTTCAAGCCATGATTGCAGATGACAGTCTGCGTACTGCTTCCAGGAAATTTAGAGTGTTTAAAGGAATGAATGGCTTTCGCAGCTGCTATGGTTTTTAAAGTGAATGCTGTTCATCTAAGCTGCTGAGTTATCTGACAAGGGTCTGTGATCTGTCCGCACTTGCAGACTACAAGAGGTGTGCCCGGCTTCTTACTCGGCTGGCAGTCAGCCCGATGTGCATGGAGGGATAAGGTAAGCTGGCGGCCCGGTCACCATGGCCTGCACACCAACAACAGGGTGCGTCAGGGACGTGAAAAATTCATGGGGGTTTAAAGACAGTCTTTCTCAGCGAAAGTAGAGTTACTGTGGGTCAGGCTGATAGAATACTCCAAATGTCTTTAAATACTGGCCAGCAGTAAAACACACAGCACCGCAGACAGCCGCTGGGACCCAGTCCCAGGATGGCGCGCTGGCTGAGTGCACATTGATCTGCATAGCCCACTGGCTACTGACCTCAGCACGTGCTTGGTGCATATGTGAAGTCCTGCTCACCCACCTACAGGCTCTCATTCAGACATTCGCAGGTGAGTATATGACTGACCACATCCATGCAGATTCTAGAGACATACTGTTTGAGGCGGACTTCTATCAGGATGTCAGGGCACTGATGAAGCTAAAGAACAGCTGCGAACAGGCATCCTCTGTGTCTTGTGTGCCAGGCCAGCCAGATGCCAGGTCTGCCTGTGTCTGATGGCTGCCCCTTCATCTCCCGTGAGTCAGGGAGGGGTGCTCTCCGTGGCGAAGGCCACGCTGACCAAGGTCTGTGCGAGGGCCCGGGGCAGCTGCCGTGGGAGCTGCGCTGGGCTCCGCCCACAGCACCGCTTCTCCCCAGCGGGAGTCCCTCCAGCAAACAGGGGTTCAGGCAAACAAGCGGTTACTGGAGGCTGTGACCCCACACTCTCCACAGGCTTATGAAACTTACAACACTTCCTATCTGGGAGGGGTGAAAGCACATTTTTTAAAGTGAAAGCTGTGAAATTCCTCCTCCTTCATTTTTCATCTGAATGCTGTCCAGTTTCTCTTCCACTGCCCACGTGGCAAACAGAACACTTATTTTTAAAGCAATGAATGGATTATTATAAGTCTCCCAAAGTACCTGCCAGGAGAGATGAGAATGCTTTTATTAAGTATTTCTTTATAGTTAAAGCATCACTGTTTCCAAAGATGAACCAGGCACATCCTTGGAAAACAACTGCCATTTACTCACAAGTGGGGAGACCCTCAGGCCGCAGGCTCCCTGCCTCCCTGCCTGTGAGCTGACCCGTGTCCCAACTGCTCTCCTGCAGAGACAGCTCGCCGGAGTGCAAAGGCGGGAGGAGTGGCCCCCTGGAGCCCTGGCGGCTGTGGCGTGGCCCCCAAGAGTGGTCCCGCTCTGCTCTGTGTCAGGAAGCACACTTGTCACCACTGTCAGGAACCGTGTTCGTTTTGGCCAAGAAAGGTGTCATTTAGAATACAGATTCTTATGCTAAAATACCTTTATAGTACTTTAAAAGATTAATTTCTTCCAATTCCCGAAGCTTTAAGCCCCAATTGCAAATGCTTAACTGGTTGGTGACAGTGTAGACAGTCAAGGGTCGCCCTGACTCCCTGAAGGGTAGAGCTCACATTCTGCATCAACATCCGACTTTGCTCACGAGCCATAAGCTGTGCCCAAGTGCGTCTTCTGCGGTCCTAACCCACGAAGAAGTCAGGATGCTCCTGCAGAGGGAGATGTCTCTTCCCACGCCAGACCATGACCTCAGCCTCTTAAAGGCTGGTCTAAGGAAGTCAGGCTTCAGGGGGTCCTGAGCAGGGAGCCCCTCCACTCCGTGATCTCAGAGAAGAGCCCTCTCCTTCTTTCTGAATCTCACAACCTGATCTCCTCCAGCCAGAGGAGTCTAGCTTTCCAGCCCCTCTCCCACATGGCAAGACAGCCTCCCCCACACCCTTTCCTTGATCTGGGCTTCCCCTCGGGTAATTTCAAGGCCTTAGGCTGGGAATATTTTCAGAGGAAACAAGTAGCAAGCATCCACCTCATTCTACAAACTGCAGCCTGATCTGAGCAGCCCAGGACCACCCCAGTCAGTCAGACTGCACTGCCGAGAACCCACAGCAGACGCGGCAACACTGCGCTCGTCTTCAGCCCGACAGGCATTCTCTTCATCTGAGACGATTTCACTCCTTCAGCACAGCAGGCCAGAGGTGACAGCAGGACTGAGTTACTTCCCACAGTAAAAGACTCACAGCAACACGGGAAACACATGCAGACTGAAATCCCTCAGGTCTGGACACACATCACTGTCAGTCACTCAGTCTGTCCGACCCATGGACAGTAGCCCTCCAGGCTCCTCTGTTCACGGGATTTCCCAGGCAAGAACTCTGGAGTTTTCCTTCTCCAGGGTCTCTTCCTGACCCAGGGATTGAACCTGGGACTCCTGCATCGCAGGTAGATGGCGTTACATGTAGTTTAACATATAGGTCTTCCAGTGCGAGTCCTTCTAGGAAACCCAGCCTGTCTGTCCTCGCAGCGAGCAGAGCCGTGCAGCAGCCCAGGACCCATGAGAAGTGCCTTGGAGACCAGCAGGACAGAGCCCACTGCCTTCTGGACACACCCCGGGAACAGAGCTTTATTTTTGCAGACAGACTCTTCCATAATTCCTTTACCTTGAGTTTCGTATGCTGTTGACACCATATGTGGACACATATTCAGTAAATTTGTGTGCCTGACAGTGATGCTTGCCACTCATCCTTTTAGACAACAGGACTGCATTTGATGTGTCATGCTGTGAAATGGCAGAGAGAGATCTTTTTTCCTGATTAGGTGACATCACAGATATTTCTTTAGAAACATAAGCAGAGTCAGCAGAATCTAAAAATATATTTTCATATAGCATATGGTATTAATATTTTATTATTTTTACAATTAAATTCCCAGAGTATTATTTGGAACTGCATGAAAAAAAAAAAAGAACTTCAGTGTGGAGACATCTGTGTACATGCTCAGGCTAATTTCGTCCTTTTATAAAATAAATGTAAAATAGTATGCAGATACTGTGCAATATGTAAATACTGTAAATAAAACACAAGTAATAAATGAAGTGTTTGTTACAGTGAAGTCTTCAGAGTGACTCTTCTGAAAAAGTTTATCCGGGGAATTTCTGATATACAAATCTTTATGAGACTGAAATACTGGCAGAAGCCACAGAATATAAAAGGTATAAATAAACTGAGAAAGCTACAAATGCTTGTAAGTGACAATCAGCATTTTCTAGAAAGTGGTACTATATTGGTGACATACTCTATAAGACAGATGATTTGGTAGTGAATAGTTCAAGTAAGTTTGCCTCTGTATTTCCTGTATGACTTCGTAATGGAAACGTGAAACTAAGCTTCCAAGAAGCTCCAGATCTTATAGGTAGATATATTTTATAGGTAGATGTATTTTATAGGTAGATGTATTCTATAGGTATACCTGATATATCTTGTAGGTAGATATATTTTGATATGTTTTGAACAAATCTGACTGGATCTGATTTTTTTAAAGACAAGTGAATCCAGAAGTGAGTTCTTCTGTTCAAACGATCCCTGGTCTGAATACAGCCTAACATATGCTGTACTGTTGCTTCAGTCATGTCGGACTCTTTGCAACTGCATGGACTGTAGCCCGCCAGGCTCTGCTGTCCATGGGCTTCTCCAGGCAATAATACTGGAGTGGGTTGCCATGCCCTCCTCCGTGGGATCTTCCCGACCCAGGGATCTAATCCGAGGCTTCTGCATTGCAGGTGGATTCTGTACCACTGAGCCACCAGGGACGCCCCAGATATAGCCTAGGGACAAAGTCAACTAGAATCCTAGGATTTGTGTGATAATCCGCATGTAAGACATAAACATTAAGTAAACTATGAACATGAAAGAACAGAAAGAGTAAAAAATTCTCTTGCTGAGATTATTAAGCAATTACTAAATGGTCAAGACTCTGGGGTTTAGCTTCTGAAGTACTTTACTTTCCTGTTTTCTAGCTGCAGTTAAACTTTCCCCCTTGATTCTTTACTTTTTAGAGCTATCATTATCAAATCCTCAGTCCACCTAACTCTCAAGTCTTCAGGATAAGTCTCACGTAGCACAGTCTTCTGGCCAAACCTCCCCAGCGTTTCACCTCTGCTAACCCTGACGGCCTGGGGTGACGACAGCCTTATTCGTCCCTCAGGCCCAAGCTAGTCTAGGACTAAATGCCCCCACCTGAGCCCCCCGAGACGGAGGACTGGACGCCACGCCTCTGAGCTCTTCCTGCTTCAGAGTGACCGTCACCCAGACTGACCTGAAACTCAGTGCTCCCAGGACTTCAGGTCACCAGCTGTGGACCGGGGTGAAGACTCGGAGAAACGAGGTTCCTCATCCAGCCCTTCACGCAGTCTCTCTTGAGGTCCCAGCCCCACCCTCTGCTGAAGGTGAGGGAGGCTAGGCGGCTGTATCGGGCTGAGGGCCACCATCTCCCATGGCAGACGAGTCAGGCAGAAGCGACGCGCTTGCTCGGCAGGTCCGCTCCTCAGGCTGCTGCCCGACCCTCACCACACCCCAAACACGGCGGCAGGGGCGCCCAGGCCTTCTGACTCTTCCTCCCCTCTCAGTAAGCAGCAGGCAGACACCAGACTTGCACCTCAGTCGTAGTTTTCTAATTTCCCCAGTTTATTTAAGAACAATTTTGTCTGACATACATTCATATGAATTTTAGATCAGTTATTTCAAAGTGTGCACAAATTATGTTTATTTCCCTATAACCAGGCACTGACAAAAGAATACTTAATATATCAATATTTAAGTATTCCAACATAAAAGGACTTTTTCCAACTTAACACTTTTTCCCACACAAGGTGATCTATAATTGGCATTCAGGCAATTATATGCATGTAGAAGCAGACACAGTCCCCAAACTGACCATAAGATAAACCAGCACACACGTCCTTCTCCTGGATATAATTACATTTCCAGAGGCAAAGCGGTTCAAATGGGAACAAATAAGTTGACTTCCTTATGAAATAAGCTACACAGACACAAACTAAGAAGGACTGAAGGTGCTAAAGGTGAATCCCACCAATCTCCCTCCTTCCTGTCCTGAAAATAACACGTGTGGGCACTGTGAGCGCGCGACACTCGACCAACATCGCTGGACGCCAGGCCCTGGCATCGAGAGGTAGTGCAGGCAGGGGCCCGTCTGGAGGGAGAGGTAGTGCGGGTTCCTGGAGGGATGTCTTATTTCACTTCATCATGTTCTACTGTGCTGCTCCACTATTTCGACTGTTCCACTGTTTTTGTAACTGGGGCAAAGTGGGAGGTTTAGCTAGTCTAAGGAACTCTTACCCCATAAACTATCTGAATCAAAGATTTTTTATTTACTCTTTTGCTAAACACAAAGACTGATTTCCATCTACAATTATTTTGTCAGGTGATAAATAGTGAGTAACCTGAAGGGAGGGCTGCAGCCTTGGCTCAGAAGGGACACTGTTGACAGTTGACACACGGCCTGGGGGGGACGAGCCTGGGCCACAGCGGGATGGCCTGGTCAGCGGACCTTCTCCAGGAAGGCCCTGCAGCACCGCACACACTGCTGGTAGACGGTCTCAAAGTCCGCGTCGTTGCCCTGGAAGGACAGGGAGAAGGGAGAGTAACAAAAGCACTCAGGGATTCGCCTTCAGGGAGCCTGCCTCTGACCCCCAACAGCAGGCGCTCACACGGGCTCTCTGTACGTCACCCTTGTCTGTGAGCATCAGGACGGAAGTGAGACCACACTTACATAATAGGGATCTTCAATGATAAGTTGTTTTTGTGGATCATAGCTCCCGAGTAGTTCGATTTTCGCTCTGCAGTTTTTAACTTGATTACTTTTTCTATTCAAATCTCTGTAAAATTGAAACATGAACTTAGTTTTCTGATCTATGGCTTCCAGTTAAACTGGGACATCTGCTAGGGTTTTATGAAGTATCCGTATCAAAATCCAGCAAAAGTGACCTGATTTAAAAAGGAAACCAAACACTCGGCAGTTCGGCACAGCCTCCGCGTGGCTGCCCCAGCGGGCTCTCTCTTCCAGGCAAGGGGGCTCCAATGGCAGCAGGCTTACACAGAATGTGCACCCTCAGGTCGGACAATAATTAGCACTCTTCTCTGAAGCACATGTTCAGAAAGACCCAGGGTCAGCAACTGAGCAAGACAACAGGATGGAACTCCAAAAGCCACGAAGACCAGGTCCCAGAGGGTGGCAGGCTCCCTGGGGAGGTGTCCTGAGCAGACCACTGGCCACTCCGTCTGCTCCCACCTCAGCCTTCTCACTGAGCTTTGTGGGGCCTGGTTAACAAACCTCCAAGGGGGAGGTCAGGGTCTCACAGGAACCCTGCAGACCTCAGAGCACAGAGCCTCCCCAAGAAGCCACGGGGCTGAAACAAGAGGGGCGGGTAGGACTGGGATGGCAAGGGCTGCACCACAAATGCCAACCACTTCCGGAAAAACATGCCACACAGAGGTCTCTAGCAAGATGCTGCTGACAACGCTGATAAGCTATTCAGTGAGAAAAATGAGGCCAAACAAGTGAAAAGCAAAAACAAAATATACGCATTTTAATGGACTTAATGAAAACCCAGGTAAGTTTGGTGCATCTGTACCTGTCCGCCCCACAACAGCGACTCCAGGAAAGAGTTTCTCTTCATTAAAAGCAGGTGCATTTACGGGTTAGCAGAGAAGCAGTCAGGGTGGCCCTGTGTCCATGCAGAGGGCTGCTCTCTGTTCCCTCGGTGTGGGCAGACGCTGGGGGCCCTGCAGGCAGACTGTGACCTCCCCTCGGTGTGGGCAGACGCGGGGGGCCCTGCAGGCCCTGCAGGCAGACTGTGACCTCCCCTCGGTGTGGGCAGACGCGGGGAGCCCTGCAGGCAGACTGTGACCCGCTGTGTGACAAGCAGCTTGGTGCCTGCCTTAGAGCGGGCACAGGTCACACAGTCCTCTGAACTGTCAGACACACTACTGTATTCACTTATCTTTGCACCGTCGGCACATTATATCATATTGTTTGTTAGGTTTAATTTTCACACACGTGGCTCACCCTAGACGTCACAAGAGAGGCCCAGGTGACCAGTGCCAGGCACGCACTGCTGCAGAAACGCCACCAAGCTCCTTGCTGCCCAGATTTAGGTCCCGAGGGCCACACCCACGTAAGTGACAGCACGGTGGTGGTGTGACTCACGAGCGCGCAGAGCCGAGGCCTCGCGTCCACCACGTCCACCGCTGAACCGGGAACCTGGGCAAGCGACGACCCTCCCGGTGCCTCCGGCTCCTCCGTGACAGCACGGGGAAAGCCTGCAGACTTGTGGGCTGAGTGCACTGGTGCGCAGAGCCGCTTTTGTCTAATACCTTCATCTGACAGCTTTTGTTTTTAAATTGATTAAGGCAATCAACAATTTAAATGGAGTAAAAAGCCTCTTTTGGTCAGTCTCCCTCTCGGGGTGGGGTGGGGCAGCAATACAGGGGAGCAGGGCGAGAAGCACAGTGAAACGCCGCGCCGCCCGTAAGTCATTGCGGCGGTCACACTCTCTCCTGCAAAACAGAGAATCGCCGTACATCTCAGACTCGTCCTTGTCTAAAGGTGCGTCTCAATTAGACACACCTATGAGACTCAATCCTAAATGACTGGACTTCTCACTCTTCTAAATAAATAATTCTGCATATTATGACCATCACTATTTATTAAAAGTTTAAGGTAATAAAAAAGTCATTTGAACAAACTGCTTGGCCTGTTACTGAAATGAGTTGAAGAGAAATACCCTTTAAAAATGTGATTACCTCAGATTGCTCTCATCCATACATAGTATATAATCAAAAGTGGCAAAGTCTTCTTTGGTAACCTGAAAGCAAATGAGAAATCAAAACACAGTGTTTACATTCAGACCAATTAAGCCCAGAGGACCAAAAACAGAACTTTAAAAAAAAAGCTATACTTGAATCTGCTACTAATTAAGTTGAACCATTTAGGGCACTTTATAGAGTTAAAACAGAGTTAACCTATTAGTAATTTCCTAAAATCATATTACAAAGAAGTTTTATAAAGTTTCCTGGAGTAACCATAAGATAGTATTTTATAGTATGTGCATGCAAAGCTTATACTTCATCTTAGACTTCTTAGAAATGAAGTGTAATACAGCTAACTTATTACACATTCCATATCTGAGTCCTGTTCTTCACTCTCCAGGCCCTCATTCCGAGCCCCAGTGACGGGCGCCCACTGCAGGGCAGACAGCTGTCTTTGTGGGGCTTCCCCCACGCAGGGCAGGCAGCTCACGGGAGTGACTGCGTCTCATGGAAAAATAAAGCAGAGAAGAGGGGAGAGGAAGATGACATGGAAGTAGGGGTCAGGGAAGATAAACTAAGACAGAAACACATGAGTGACGCTCTCTGGATCGTCTTTCTTCTGACTGAATATTTATAATCTGGACATGACACAGGAAGAGTGCCACTCAGTATTTTTACAAATTCTAACCTAAACTTGGCATTTTGGGGGGATCCCCTCATTGCTCAGTTGGTAAAGAATCTGCCTGCAATGGAGACTCCGGTTCAATTCCTGGGTCGGGAAGATCCGCTGGAAAAGGGATAGGCTATCCATTCCAGTATTCTTGGACTTCCCTTATGGCTCAGCTGGTAAAGAATCTGCCTGCAATGTGGGAGACCTGGGTTTGATCCCTGGGTTGGGAAGATCCCCTGGAGGAGGGAAAGGCTACCCACTCCAGTTATCTAGAACTAAGAAAGAAATGCACGAATAACAGTCTCTGGATCTTCTTTCTTCTGATTGAATATCTACAATTTGGACATGACACAGAAGAGAGTGCCACTTAATATTTTTACTAATTCTAACCCGAACTTTTCATTTTTTGACATTTATAAACACAAGCCTGCTAAAATATAAATGAAAAATTATTTTATGATTTTTTACTGTTATAATGACAAGAAAGGAGCAACTATATTCAATTTTAATAACCTATAAGGGAAAAGAATCCGAAAAAGAATATATAGAATAGAATCATTTTGCTGTACTCCTGAAACTAACACAGCATTGTAAGTTAACTATACGTCAACTAAAAAAATGGCAGGAAGGGAGGGAGGGAAGAAGGAAAACATGCCCCAAATCAAAGGTGGAAATAATTTCTAGGAATGCAATTTCAATAATCATCTTCATCACAAAAAAAAGTCCTCTGAAATACAGTGGTACAGTGACACCACAAGAAAGATTCTGATAATCTGGTTAAGCAGAGAAGTGATACTTGACTATACTCAGTTTTGCAAAAGAACAATAAATATGCTCATTATTCTATTAAAATAATAAATTTTGGCTCTCAGTATGCATTTGCATTAGTTTTCAGCATACTATATTAATAAAATACTGTAATCAATTTTGTTCATATTCCCAAGGTACTAGATTATTTCAAAATGTATTAGAACAAACATTACAAGTTATTGCCCCAAGTTAGTTGTCTGAAAATGTCCTGGGATTAAACATTGTCTTTAATTTTGGAAAGACTGTGACTACAGACCCTAAAATTTAGTAACTGACAGCTACATGTAGCTACATGATGTTAAGATGTTAAAATAATTGTTAAAGAATTGACAATTAACATAAAGAATGCACGGTAAAGGATTTCCGCTTGCACCTATAAATGAAATAGCTGTGACAAAACAACCCTATTGCTAAAAGAAACTAGAAAATGCCCATCAAAACCGAACACATCTGCACAATCATTAACTCGCTCCCACAACAGCCAGGCTGAAAAAGGCCAAAATCCCAAGTGCGTGTGCAGAGCCAAGTGTGCACGCAGAGCCAAGCGTGCAAACCCGTGGGCTCTGCTGCTGCGGACAAGCCTGGCTGCCTGAGGGGCTGACCTGCCAGAGGCAGCTGGCAGCCTGCTCCCGCCCCCAGAGCACCTGCTGACCCTGCACCTCGGCTTGGGATCAGAAGAGAGATCTTAAACTTCTTGGTTTTAACTCTTAAGATGTTTACCAAAGTTATTAAAAGTAAAATTGCTATAAACTATTTGCTTAAAATAATAAAAATTCATTATTTGTTATTATAACACTTTTGTAAATGAAAAACAACTATACTTTCCACAATGAAACACAGGCAGGAGGAGAGTTGCACGGTTTTACATCTCTGCAAATCTCTTTAATATCTGCTTATTCAAGACGGGTGTGCTTCAGCATCTGATTGGCTGAAATACGCAAGCCCAGCCTCACACAAGTACATAGCTTGAAAGAAGTCTTTTAACACCCATTGTATGACTGTGGATATTCTTTGATCTAACACCAAAACTCACTAAGCGGTGATTTCTCACAGGTCTCTTACAATGCAGAGTATGAAAACACATCAGCAAGCTTCTCCTCTGTCCATGTTCACTGGCTAGTCTGACCCTTTGAATGGACCCCTCACTCACACATTTTGACCTCATGACAGAGGGTCCCTGGAACCCACTGTGGGGACCACGCTCTAGACTCACAGGAGGGGCTGTCAGCAACATCTGAGTACACTGTGATCATAGCAATGGGGGGGGAAAGTGGGTGCTCAGCATCAGGAGGGTAGAACCATGTGGCCTCCCGGGCCACGAGAAGCCTAGGCAGAAGCACCAAAGGACAGCCAGCAACCTCACCAGCCGGAGAAGCTAGAGGCAAGGATGGCAAGATGGCCGGAGGAGGAGGGAGCCCCAGAGAGGGGAGCCTGGCCCCCACAGGGTCTCTCTCAGAGCACCTGGTGAGCTCCTAACAGACTCAGCGCAATAAGCCGAGAGGACAAGTGGCAGGCAGCAGCAGCAGACCCAGGGAGGGAGAAATAGAACTCTGCCTCCAGACAGAAGCAGGCACCCCGATCAGGTAGGGCTCCTGAGTTCCCCCGAGAGGAGCCAACCAGGATGGCCAGAGCCCTGTGAAGCAGGACGAGCTCCCAGTCAGCTCGGAACCAGACCCTTCCCACCAAAGCAAAGCCCCAAGGGCAAAGGACCTGCATCCGGAGCGTCCACAGGGCTCACAGGTCAAGCTCGGCATTTAATCCAAATCAGCACAGAAGCAATAACCAAAGGGGAAGGAGAGTAGACTCACAAGGACCCAGGTGTCAGTCACCAGACCTTATTTTATTGGGTTGGCCAAAAACCTCATTTGGGTTTTCCAGAATATGTTACAGAAAATTCCAAACAAACTTTTTCTAAATAAACTCTTGTTGCTGTTGTTCAGTTGCTTGTTGTGTCTGATTCTTTGCAACCCCATGGACTGCAGCACACCAGGCTTCGCTGTCCTTCACTATCTCCCACGGTTTGCTCAAACTCAGGTCCGTTGAGGCAGTGATGCCACCCAACCATCTCATCCTCTGTCACCCTATTCTCCTCTTACTCTCATCTTTCCCAGCATCAGGCTCTGTTCCAATGAACTGGCTCTTGGCATCAGGTGGCCAAAGCATTGGAGTTTAAGCTTCAGCATCAGTCCTTCCAATGAATATTCAGGGTTGGTTTCCTTTAGGATTAACTGGTTTGATCTCCTTGCAGTCCAAGGGACTCTCAAGAGTTGTCTCCAGCATCACAGTTTGAAAGCATCAATTCTTTGGCACTCAGTTCTTTGCGGTCCCACATCCATACGTGACTACTGGAAAAACCACAGCTTTGACTATATGGACCTCTGTCGGCAAAGTAATGTCTGCTTTTTAACATGCTGTCTAGGTTTGTCAAAACTTTTTGGCCAACCAAATAAACAGCTATGATCAGACTTGTTCAAAAAAATATAGGGCAAGATGCATAATTTCACCCGAGGGTTGGAATCAATTTTTTTAAATGAAATAAAATGTATTAAATAAAATAACAGACACCAAATATTCCATAAAGGCTTATATCCTGGGTGTTCATTGGAAGGACTGATGTTGAAGCTGAAACTCCAATACTTTGACCACCTGATGCAAAGAGATGACTCACTGGAAAAGACCCTGATGCTGAGAAGATTGACGGCAGGAGGAGAAGGGGACGACAGAGGATGAGATGCTTGGATGGCATCATCGACTCAATGGACATGGGTTTGGGTGGACTCCGGGAGTTGGTGATGGACAGGGAGGCCTGGCGTGCTGCAGTTATGGGTCACAAAGAGTCGGACACGACTGAGCGACTGAACTGAACTGAACTGTTTGAAAACGCAGAAAGACTAGTACATCACAAAACAGGTCAGTAGAAAATCTCAGACTAAAAACCAGAGTGAAAAGGATGGAAAAAGTAGAAAAGTCATAAGAAATTTATGTTTAAAATACATTTAGGCTGAATTTCAAAAGAATGAGGGGAAGAAAAATATACACAGATAATAACCCAGAATTTTCCAGCATTGATAAAAACCATCAAGACACAAATTCAGGAAGTGAAGTTGACCACATAAAATGCCAGAAACTACACCGCAAAGAAAAGCTAAAGACAGCAGAAGAAAATGACAGCAAGTGTCAGAAACAACAAAATTAGGATGGAGCAGATGAACCTTCCCAGACGGTTACAGCAGAGACACCATCACTGTTTGGCAAACGTTCTGTCAGTGAAGAGAACATCAGGCCACCTGTGTTACAAGGCCGCTCCGCCCAGAGGCACGGATAAACAAACAGCCACTAACTGTGCAATGACCCTGAATCTAAAGATGAAGATGACTGAAGCTCTGCTATGAGCAATACGGAGAATCTCACAAAGGAAAATGCTGACAGAAAGACATGCACTAGAGGACTGCACCGCCATAAAGTTCAGAGGTCAGAAGGCATTCTGAGTGGGGCCCTCTGCACTAGAGGAGGGGAGCCGGTACGATGCGAGATGCACTGAGCGCCCAGACATCTGTGTATGTGTCAATAAAGCTCACTGGAAAGCAAAGCACGTATGGTAAACACCCCACAGAACTAACCGGATGAGAGCTCACAGACTCCAGAGAACTGATTTACACGCAATACAGAGAGAAAAGCACCCTAAATGTATTTTGTCTGTTAAACTCAGGTTTAGTAGAAGTATTATAGTTCTCATACAAGTTGTGACACTAAAGAGGAAACCTGTAAACATTAGAAAATGCTAAAAAATAACAAAGATCTGATGTGATACTGACATATCCTACTAGAACTTCGAAATTAAAAAAAAAGTCATTGTTGAGAAGTTTCTTAAAAGCAACAAGGAAAAGGAAAAAGTAGATTATGTGGAGATACCACTTCTAAAAGGGGTAATAATTTCATAAGCAATAACTTTCTAGCTTTGTTTTTTTAAGGCATGTGTATTTAAAATACTTCATTTGTGCCCATTTTTATTATAAACTTAATGTATGAAAAAAATCTGATCTTAAAAATAGAAAATATGAAAATATGATTGCTCATAATTCTCAAGGACTACTCAAAATAAATCTGTCATTTAAAAAACAGAAAGTAGAAATTGGCAAGGAATCCAAAACCCTGAAGAGATTAAGAATGGACAAATGACATAAAAAATGTTTAATCTCTGTCCAATGAAATTCCACTTAAGAAAGGGTTTTTAAAATAGTTAAATAGTAAATTGTTAACACACACAGTCAACTACATAGCCAGAAAATTAGTTCACAGATCTCAGATTATTCTCAGACAAAAATAATCTGTGTATTACTAATTCCTGAGACATAAACATGTTAAAAGTATTTCTATGGCAATTTTGTTTTGTGAATTTTCTGGCCTACATTCCACCAAATAAACCTGTAATTAAATCCAAGTTCTACTACTTAGCAGCTGGGTAACCTTTAATAAGTCATTTATTTTCTCTCTGGAAGTGTTTCTTGACCTGAAAAATGTGTTTATCAACTACTTCCTACCACAACTGATAAAAATTAGGACAATAATAATTTAAAATATGACGTGTGGCAAAGCAATCTGCAAAGTTTTGAGCAAAGACAAGGTTCAGTATAATAATGACTAAGGGATCTTTATCGAGTTTCACAGAAAGTTCTGATCTAAGCACTAGAACTCAATTATAGTTCCCACGCTGCCACCCATACTTATAAACATGCAACATATTTGACAAGCGATTTTCAAAATACTTGGCTTCTCATTTTGAAGGCCTCAAAAGCTCTTCTCCAGGCGTGGGCTGTCATGCTCTGACACCAAGCCACAGCCCTTCTTGGGCTGTGCGTGGTTCAGCTGGAATCCCAGTCCACAGAGCTGTACATTTTGTTAGGATGATACAAAACGAAGTTCAAAGGTTTTAGACAGGTTTTTTAAAACATCCAATTGAATCTCCTCAAAATAATCGCACCGATAAAAGTAACAGTTCCTGTAGAAAAACACAGCAGTCAGGAACGAAGCCTATTTCTGCAGAAGTTCCCCGTGCCAGCACCCGCTGCAGCTTCTAGACAAGGAGAGACAGGGTTGGCTGCCCTTGGGCCCCGATGTCTTGCCAGGCATGCCGCTGTGGAAACCTCACTCCCCAACCCCATAGTCCCATGTGAGTCTGGAACCCCATAGGCACCCACCAGATCAAATGGCTATTGAAATGTGTTATAATTTAAAATTCAGCTCCAATCACACTGGCCTTATGTCAAAAGTGCAAGAGCTACATGGAGCTGGTGGACTCCACCCTGGAAAGCAGTAGATGTGCCCGCCTCAATGCAGAATGTTCGTTCTACTGGGCCACACTCCAGAACCCAAACTCAGAAGCAAAACTGCTGTGTGCAGAATATGCATCCATAAAAATATCAGCATTACCCTGTATTTCTAAGGCACTTCACAGTTGAAAATGTTTTTGTATTAATAGCAGAACTGTATTCTATTGGGTTGGCCAAAAAGTTCGTTCAAGTTGTTCCGTAAGATGTTATGAAAAGCCCAAACAAACCTTTGGGCCAAGCCAACAGTAACAACCATGTAACAGAAGCAGACTAAGTCACCATGGACCAGAATACAAAAGGACACCAGAAATAGAAAGGACACGACAGCTCAGGTCACCCAGCGCTCAGTCACGGCTCTCTCGACCTCGCACTCTAATAAGCCAATTCCAAGGTCACACAAACCTTTCAGAACTGTGGACCCAGAACAGGTGCACTGTGGCTGGTTAAGCCAACCCTATATAAACACATTCATTACATGTAAGTCTCATTAAGCTTCTCACAACTCTCAGGTTATGGGATCAATGCATGAGAAATTAAACAAGGTTTCTTCTACCTGTCTTGCTTTATGGGCTGTGTTAATGCCATGATTTCTTAGGCAGCTCACAGCTCTTGGATCTGGTGACCGGCCCACGTTCCAGTCAGAAACAGCGCCACTGTCAATGACCCACTGAAACATAAAACACACAAGTGCATTTTCAAGGTCAAGTACGGTACCTGCCGGGCAACGTGACTCATGGGGATACCATGCTTCTTCATGCAAGCCTGCCCCCGATAATCAGGAGGGTTTCCTAGTTCATACGTGGATGTCGCTGCACTGTCTATCCTCCACTGCAGGAGAAAAAAAGAATTCTTTTCACAATTTTCTGCCCCAAAGCCATTCAAGTTGGCCTCTTTAAGACAGTAACAGTACTTACATTATCTGAAATGTTTTGATCAGTTACAAGTTTCCTGAAAACTGCTTCTGCGATGGGTGATCGACAGATGTTACCTTAAAAAGAGGTGGGGGAGCAGAGAGTGAGTGTCTGGTTTGAGAGAAGTGCAGGTGCTAAGCCCAGCACAGCACAAGCTCACAAGACTCCACACAGCTGGGGCAGCGAGGGAGCAAGGCAAACACTCTTCTCTGCGGTGACTGTGCTACCAGCACGTGGCAGGACCTGGCGGGACAGCTGACCCAATCCCACTCGATGACTTCAAACCAACTGTCCAAATACACAAAGTACAAATGACAAGGACATTAGAAATCAGAACAGTTAGGACCAAAATCATCATTTTTCAGTTGCTATCACTGATCCAGAAGCTAATCATGAAATCAAATGAATGGGTTGCAACCAGTCTATTTTAAAATGATATAGAACAAGAGTTTTAAAATATGTACTTTCAAGTATACTGCACACAATAAAACAATACATTGTTTCATAAAATACAAAAGCAAATACAGTTAGGCCTAACAGCAGTTCTACACAGACTCCTACTAAAGGACCTGTGCAGAGCCCTTGCTGGAGCGCCGTGCACCCAGGAGCCGGAGCTTGGGCAGGGACGGGCCTCCAAGCCGTCCAGTTTGCCCAGAACTTCCGCCCAGAACCAGCTGCAAGTTCATCGATTCCCAGGACCACCCTCAGTTCAAACTAGCTGGCCACAAATTTGGGGGTCCGCACCTGATGTGTAGAACTGACTCAATGGAAAAGATCCTGATGCTAGGAAAGACTGAAGGCAGGAGGTGAAGGGGGTGACAGAGAATGAGATGGTTAAATGGCATCATCAACTCAATGGATATGAATTTGAGCAAACTCCAGGAGATAGTGAAGGACAGGGAAGCCTGGTGTGGTGTAGTCCATGGGGTCACAAAGAGCTGGACACGACTTAGCGACTGAACAACAACAGGTTCAATATTTCTCTAAAAGGATTGTAGAATTCAGGAAAATGTTATAGTTTTACTATTACAAAAAGACACAGAACAGAACCAGCCAAACTCAGAGGGCATACTGAAGATTCTGGAAGAGTTCCAAACAGGAAACTCTGGTCTTCAGGGACAGGTCATCTTCCCATCATCCATGTGTGACTACACTCAGGGTACTGCCAATCCAAGATGCCACCCAGGGCTCCAGTGCCAAGGACTTATTGGGAATAACTACAATTAATTTATCGCTTAATTAACTATAATTAAACTCAATTAAAACAAGAAAATAAATGCTGATAGATACAAGAGAACAGGAAAAGAAGGTAACATTTCTTACAAGAAAAAAGAACAATTAGGCTTGGTTTGTAAAGAGAAGTATTTATCAATAAATACTGATTAATTATAGGAAAAAGGTCACCTGACATCACTGTGTTCTCATTCCCCACGGTGCTGGCTGGGACAACAACAGCACACATCCTCTAGTCTGTCTGCCTCAAAAAAGTACCGAATACTTCATAGTCTTGCCAAAATAAGGAGTTCCATTCTTTTCTGCTATCACCCTTACCGATGGTAAACACGTGACACTTTTCTGCACTTCAGTCTGGCTCAGAGGTTAAAGTGTCTGCCTGCAATTCAGGACCTGGGTTCGATCCCTGGGTCGGGAAGACCCCCTGGAGAAGGAAATGGCAACCCACTCCAGTATTCTTGCCTGGAGAATCCCATGGATGGAGGAGCCTGGTGGGCTACAGTCCACAGGGTCGCAAAGAGTCAGACAGGACTGAGCAACTTAACTAAATGTTTGAAGGAATAAAACTTTCACCTTTTGGAAATGCACTGTTGTTACTGTTCTGCATACAGGCTGCCAAGTGAAATGGCAAACAGTGACCTCAAATCCCCTCAGAATTCCACGTTTCACCCCCTCCACCAGCAAAGCTCTGGTCCAACACACAAGCTCTCTTTCAACGGTGGGTCTCCCTCTCGTGGCTTTCGCTCTTCTTCAGTCCAATCTCAACACGACAGCTGAACGGCCACAACACCTGAACTTCCTACCTCTGCTCAAAACCCTCCGAAGGCTTAACTCACTCAGTGATCCAAGTCCTTACACAGCCTCACCAGATCCATTCTCCACAGGACCTAATGTGGGTCTGAAAACTAGGAATCAGGACCCACCACCTTTGTACACAGTTCTCAATGCTAAAAATAATTTTTACATTTTTAAGCAATTGAAAAAACTCAAAAGTACAGTATGTTGTGACATGAGATTATACAGAATTCAAATTCCAGTGGGCACGAACAATCACATCGAGCATGACTGTTCACGTACTGGCTAGGGCTGCTTCTGCACTACACTTCTGGTATGACCGTCAAAGCACAATATATTTGTTCTCTGGCTCTTCAAAGGGTTTGCTGACTCCTGCCCCAGCTCACTGTACATGCACCAAGAATGGGACAAGTTTCAGATCCACTGGGCGCTGAGAAAACAAGTCAACATTATCTCCGAGTCCTCGGGAACTGAGGCAAGCCTGTTCAGAAGCAACTAGAGCACCAGACCCAGTGCTGCAGCTTCCCTGCTGTGTCGTGAACATGGCCAGAACCCTCTGTTCAGAATCCTTCACCTGCTTTCCTCCAGGTCCAGGATGCTTTTCCAAAATACCCTATACTTGCTTCCCTACTTTTTCCAAGTCTTTCTTCAAATGGCACCTTCTCAGTAAGGCCTCCCCCCAAAACCCTTCTTACAGCTGCACTCCACTCCCATCCCCCCTTCCTGCCTTAGTGTTAACACCAGCTGACTGAGTAGCCAAATCCTTGACTGTTGATGACACAGTGTGAGCTCTTGACAGGCAGGGATTGTTGTCTGTTTTCCTCACCACTGTATCCCTAGCATTCAGAACAGTTCCTGGTACCATGGCAGTTGCTGGAAAAAGAAAGCATACTGAAGATAAACACACACAAGCAGATATCTCCCATCAAGAGCCAGCAGAGTGCACCATGTCAGCCTAACCAACACCGCTAAGTAAAATAAGCAAAGCAATGGAATCCTGTTAGATACTCAGCATAAACCGAACTGCCCTTTAATAAAGCTGTTGAGTCCATCAGTCAACCTTCAGTGTAGAGCTTAAAATCAAATGATGCCCACTGTCAACATGAAACAAGGAAGCCTTTTACTTTTTCCTTCATAGATATCCAATTCTACAAATACTTGGTGAACATATTTTGTCTTAAAGCTGTAAACAGAAAGAAAAATAAGCCACAGTCATTGCCTTAAAGAGAGTTAAATCTAGCTATAATTGCAGCAGGCTTTCAAGTAATTATAATAAAATTTGTGTGAGGGAAGATGTACATAAAGTGTCATGGGAACAATTACCTGTACCAAGAGGATCTGGAAAAAGTAAAGAAGGGAATGTTTGGGTCTGACCTTTTAGAAAGATTCTCCTGGAAAAACGCAAAGTGAGTTCCCAGAAAGAAGCACACAGAGGAAGGCGCGCCGAGCAGCTGAAAAGCAGGGGAACAGGCAACCAGAGGGCGTGTGGGTAGGAAACAGGAAACCAGGGCAAGTGGGACAGGCCAAGCAGATCTCTGCGGTCTTCCATAAGAGTGCATCGAAGGAGGGGTGGGAAAGCTATTATTCGGCAGGAAATGCAGGCTCACCCAAAGCTTTTTATGGACTACTGGCCATTTAGGCCTTTCTGGGAATTAAGGAGATGGGGTGGAAATGCTGAGATGCGGTATAAAATGAAGAGTCCCGAAAGCGAAAGGGACACTGAACTCTATTTTAAGAAGGGAAGGCTGATTGCTGAAATCTTAAAAATGAAATAATTCCGAGCTGGAAAGTACCTAAAGAATTAAAAGGGAGAAAAATACCTTCATTTCATGTAGAGAAATATTGGCACATGGGGCTGTTACACAGCGACCTAAAGAATCAAATCTCCCAGGTTTGAATTTTACAAGAAATCCTAAGCCTTCGCATTCCATCTGCCTTTAAGTGTGCTCCATCTGGGAGCCTGAGGCAAGGAAACAGGCCAGCAAACCAGTGCTATCATGGGTCTCGGGTATCAGCAGACCCTTAAAGGTCAGATCAGTTCAGTGGCCTCGGGTTTACCTGCAGGGGAAAGAACTATAGCCAAGTACAACGGCAAGAGCCCCGGCTTGGAGTGCAGATGCTGCAGGTGAGCGGGGACCCGGGCTTGAGAAAACTGAACAAAAGCTAGAGACCCAGACCTGCACAGAGGAGTCGGCAGGCGACAGAGGTTCTGACTCAGACACCTGACTTAGAACCGGGCTTGTCAAGAGCACCCAGCGTGCAGAGCCGCCCTGCGGCCGCGGGGCGCACACAAGGGGCGCCGCGCATCGACCACCCTCGGGTCTCCCCTCTCTGGCCGCCTCCCCATCGCTTTCCCTGGTTCAGCGGCGCAGAGCAGCTCAGAACGCATAACGCCCTACCCAGCCCTCCGGAAAGCTCAGAGCGGGGCTAGATCGGCGCCGTCTCACCCAGACACACGAACAGCACCGACTTGGTCACCTGCTCAGCCATCTTCCCGCGCGCGCAGAGGCGCCCAGTAATAACGTCGGAACGCTTCCGGCGCAGCGCATGCGCACGGCGAGCGGTCCGCCGGTGCGCCTGCGTGATCTGGCGCTGACCTCTGGGGCGAGCGGGGAGGTTTTGCGCTGGCGCAGTCTGGCCCCAGCGCCGCCGGCTGGAGGCGGAGCCACGAGCCACCTGGAGGCCTTGGGGGAGGGGACGGCGGGGCGGTGCCGAGAGCCACCTGAGGGGGGAGGGCCCCACCTGAGGGGGGAGGGCCCCGGGGAGGAGCCAGGTGCGCGCCGCCGAGTGACCGCCGAGGCCGGAGAGGGCGTAGCCCCGGGCCACAGGGGTTCGCGGGGCCGCAGGGCGAAGCAAGCGCGGCGGGGCCTGCTCTGTCCCCTCGGGTCCTCGGAGAGCGGAGGGCCAGTCCTGCGCTCAGGTGAGCGCCCGTCAGCGAGCCACCGGCTGCACGTGACGGCCGCCCTCGGGGGGCGGGTCCACTCGCGCCTCTTGAGACCTGGGGCCCCCGCCCCCGCCCGGTGGGACCGCCGCGTTCGGCCGGCGCCGCGCGGGACGGCCGTGGGCTGCGCGCTCGTCAACGACGGGCTGCTTCCGTGCCCGAGGGCGGGCGCGCCCCTTAACTGCGAGTCCGTACAAAGCGGTGCTCCCCCAGTGGGAGCGTGTGGACCTGCCCCTCACCTGCCCCAGGTGTGCGCCTCCCACCGCGGCCATACCTGCCCAGGTGTGCGCCGCCCACAGCGGCCCCCGCCCGGAGGCGGAGCCGCGGCAGCGCCCATCCTCTCCCTGGGCGCGGTCCACAGCGCTGGGGCGCCGGAGCGGGCCAGGCTCGGGGTCGCGAGTGAGTAGGGGCGTCGGCGCGGGCCTCTCCTGGCCTCGGGGCCGCCGCCGGGCCTCGAGAGTCTCGCTGGGGAGGGCCAGTCTTCGGGGAAGAAGGAGAAGCTGTGTCTCTGGGATTGTTTGCTCTTGCGTGTCTTTTAATGCTGTCATCCCACAAGCTGTCAGAAGTTAAAAGGGCTCTCCACAAACGTGGTGTGATGCGGACTCAGCCCCCGTCGATTCGATTCACAGTCAAACTCTTCTTGTTTACAGTTTTTATGGTTATCGTTCATTTTATACCATGTGTAAATATCTAAAGCTTGAAAAGCCAGGTATTTGTTGCTGTCCTTTCCGTTCCCTGTGTGTAAGTGCAGGTTATTCTGGACCTCTGTCAGAGTCGTCTGGGTTGAGCCTGCCTCTGACTCGGGCAGGAGTCCGGGTGCTGCCCTTGCTCCGCGACCACCTGAGGCTTAACTGCCAGGCCCTCCAGGCTCACCGGCCCCGCCTGTGATCAGCTGCGCTTTGCGGGTATCGCTGAGGGTAGACTGACTGCAGCCTGGCTCTGGGAGCCCTGGACCCCGTATCTCTGTGTTGTGATAGTTTTTCCTTGTTTAAAGAAGCAGGAAACTGCTCTGAGTTGGTAGATAACCAGACGGTAATGAGATGTACCCTACTACCTGGAAATGTGTCATTTTCACTTCCTTTCAATTGGAGTTTGCCACTGCTGCTGCTGAGGCTGAGTCGGAGAGAATGACACAGACAAGGGACCCCTGCCCACAGACAGTAGGAAGCTGATGGCCCCAGAATGTTCTACCAAACGGGCGAGGTTTCTAGGTTTTGTTTTATATACAGAACATACAGTGTTCTGCGTTTTTGTCCTCATGAAAGTTTTATTGAGATGTGAGAGATGCCTGAGTTAATAATGGGTTAGTCAGAAACTCTGCACACACCCACCTCAGAGAAACAAGTTTCCAGTGGTACTGTTTAGTTCTTTGTGTGGCCTGCTGTTGAAATACCTGTGCAGTGACCAGCTGGAGGTTAAAGGAAGTTATTACTTCCAGCCTGTTTATCATGCTTAAAATAAGGAGAATTGGTTACCTGGTTTACAAATGTTCTATTTAAACAAAGTTTCTATAAAACTAGTTTACTGCACCTCATCTTTTGAAAGATTAAAAAAAATATTTAAAAGAAATCGTTGCTCATCAAGAGTGATTTGATGCTTTTATTCCATTTAGGAAATTTTCTCAGGGAATTTCTCTCTGTTTAGAAATTAGGAAGTGGTATTTGGAAAGAAGAGACTGCTGTCAAGTCAAGGGGATGCTGCTGCCGTGTCGCTAAGTGACCGGTGGGCACAGACGTCTTTCTACAAGTTGCCTTATGAGCAAGTGGTTGTGGTAAGACATCATCCTGTGCAGATGAAGACCTTAGCATATTGAATTTTTATTTTCTTTGGGAGGAACCAGGTTTTCACAGTCAGTGATTGGACTAGAGTGGCAAATGTAGTCTTACTCTGAGCCAGGATCACTCTTCAGTTTGAGAAATGGTAAAGCGAGTATAAGTCAAGGGTCTCCTTATGCTGGAAGTTATGGGTCTCGTCAGTCTACACTTCTGTCTCTTGTCCAAAGCCTGCAGTCAGGGGAACAGAAAAGAGGCAAAGGCCACGAAAATGTTTGGGGTTCAAATTATCAGTTTGGTTTGAAGTTTGGACTAGAAGGTTAATGACCTGACCGGAGGGACCCATTTTGATTTCTAGAACTGACAGACTTTGTCTCCTTAAGACAAAGGAAGCAGTTAAGCCTGGGCCACGGAAAGATAAGAACTGGTTTAAGAAACAATGGCCGTAGTTCTCAGGCAGTGGTGTCCATGATGATAATATACTAATAAAACTAAAGGCAATATTTCAGAGGTTTTTGAAAGATCACATATAAAGTTTCTTTTAGCTAAGATTTATAGCCAAAATAAAAATTTGTAAAAAATTTCCTATAGATAGCCTTCTCGTAATTGAGACTCTGTTGAGGAAAATAATATATTGGATGCTTTTGTCGACAGAAGGAAAGTTTGGAAGCCCTTGAAGTCTTATGATGTTGAGGTGCTGGGAGGGGCCGTGCCTCTCCTGCATTCATTCCAGACCTCTGAAGGGTCAGACAGGAAACTAGTCAGTCTTCTCTCCCAGGTGGCAACTTTCTCTGAGTAGATTCTAATGTCCTGGTTGCCCCCAGTGCCCCCCCCTGCCCCAGTTTAATACCCTCGGATCAATATGGAAATTATTTCTACATCTTAAGGTCATTTCAAGGTTTTGAGGTTTCAAAAGTAAAAATTTTCTCCTCAGTATTTAAAAACAGTCCTCTCAATTTAAAAAAAAAGACTTAGTATGGGAATTTCAAATATCCTTTTGGCTAAGATCAAGTGTAGTATCTGTTCTTATCAGTTTAATATCTGATACGTCCTCTATCCGAGGACAATATATTAAATGGATTTTTGGAGCAGGGAGTTGGAATAGGAGCTTGCTCTGTCCACTCCACGCATCGACCTGGTATTGCAGTACTTCCAGGAACGGTGCACCCCCTTCGGGGAAATAAAAAAAAAAATAAAATAAAATTTAAAAAAAGACTTAGTATGGGAATTTCAAATATTTTAGTTACTTTTTTAAATTTTATTTTATCTTTGGCTGCACAGGGCTTTTGTGGCAGGGTGCGGGCTTCTCATTGTGGTGGCTTTTTTTGTTGCGGAGCACTGACTCTAGGTGTGTAGGTTCAGTAGTCATGGCTTAGTCGCCCTGCAGCATGTGGGATCTTCCAGGACCAGGGATTGAACCAGTGTCCCTTGCATTGCAAGGCAGATTCTTAACCACTGGACCACCAGGGAAGCCCTATTTTAGCTACTTTTTAAAGGAAATTTCCCTCTATTTTCTTGGCTTGAGGTTTGGCAGCCATCATTCTCTTGGGAGGAAACTCAAATATTTATACATAATTTGCTTTGCCTTGGAATTCAAGAGACTTAAAACTTTTATGAATGTTCGGATGCAAACCAAGACTTAATAGTGACCTGTATCTTCATAACTTCAGGAATATAATGATACCAACCTTCTGATCAGACCATGCCCCTCTGCCTTATGGTCAGCAGAGGAAAGTGGAAGAGCCACGTGATACTGAGGACTGGAATTGAGGCTTGTTTCCAAATCATTTTTATTACTTGTTGGCTCTGGCAGAGAAATTCACTATACACAACTATGACTGGGCAATATGCTTTTATTAGAGATTTAACAGGATCTGTGCTATTCAAACACATTAGCCCGGCTCTTCTGGAGTTCAGCTGAACATGACGCTGTCCTCACCATGGCCAGCTTTGTGACACCAGCTCTCAGTGACCAGGGCTGTGTCTGGCACTCAGGCTCAGTGGTCTGCAGGCATCCCAGCTGGATCCGAATTCCCCAGCCCAGTAGCTGCCCTTCGCATGTTTATAAAAGGGTCTGACCTTCCGTAAACAGGATGTTTGCAATAGCAACTCTCAACATGGAATTTGCTTGTTTAACTGGTTTAACTCTGCTTGGTTGATAGAGTTCAAAGTAGAAGGTCTTTTGGGGGTAGGATTTATGATCATTTACTAAGCTTTAGTTGCACGTTCCAGAAAATCTAATCCAAACTGGCTTTAGCAGAAGAAGATTTTCCTGGCCCATATGCCTGAAGAGGGGGCTTCCCAGGTGGTGCTAGTGGTAAAAAATCCGCCTCCAGTGCAGGAAATGCAAGAGACTGCAGGGCTGCTTGTGGCTTCAGCTGTGGCCCAGCTCAGGGCAGAAGGAGAGCCAGCAGAGCCCGGCTTCTCTCTCTAACTCTAGTCAAGAGCTTCTCCGCACAGCTCTGCTCTCAGGCTCTCCCCACTGGTGAAAAAATCTTGCAACAGGTCAACACAAGTGTCTGCAAGAGAGTTCTGGCAGCTCCCACACAAGGCCAGCCAGATGCTGATGTGGATCAGCTTTGGTTACAAAGCTCTGCTGTGGTGCAGGGAAGACACTTGTTCTGATTCAGCAGATGGGTCACCTGTCCCGCTCTGGGCGCTGCAGCAGGGGGAACAGACAAACTGCTGGTCCCCCCAAAAGACGTAGATATTTAGCAGCCAAAGGAACCAATTTCCACTGCAGTTTATTAATGCAAGGCAGTGAGAGAGATTGAGCATCTGTGTGTATGGGTGGGGCTCTGCAGGGCAGTGCTTTGTAAAAGCACTCCTTCTGACCCATGAGGACTGCAGCTGAGTGGCGGACAGGTGTGTGGATGAGTCTCAAACCACACACTCAAGTGCCAGAAATGTAAGCATTTTATCCTGAGCCCTCACGGTCAGTCACTTTTCAGAGTGGGTTTTGAGAAGAGGAGTTGGGTCTTTGCCGTCTCTGCCCAGTCAGGTTTGCTTTTGGTTTTCACTTATCATTAATTCTGAAGATGATCTTGGTTGCATTCACAATTTCCGACACTCCAGCTCTCGGATGGAACAGTTGGTGTTCCCTCACACAGGCACAGCTGGCTCTCCTGTGCCTTCTGGGTGGAAGTGGTCTTAGTGGGGTGAGCACCACTTCAGCTGGAGCCACACACAGATCTCCTCACCTTCAGTTCGGTTTGGTTTTGTCTTCCCTTTCCTATGACAACTTTGAAAGGACTATTTTAGGGACTACACCACTTATACCTCACTACCCCCTTACCCTCCACTCTTTTAAGGTCTGGGAAATGTTACAGATTCTGAGAGGCAGGGAACCTTTGCTCTTATTCAGCACATATTCTTCTAAACCTACTGGATTTTCCAAGTAAATGAATCTTTCCTAGTCCACACAGAGATTTGACATTTAAATCCAGAAAATCACAAATGCTTTATTCATTTAACAAATATTTATTGGGCACTTACTGTATGCACTTATGATGTGTGTTGGAGATACTACACTGAATAAAATAGTCAATGTGCTTAACCTGTGGCACTTATATTGTAGAGAGAGAGATTAGGTTAGAAAGATTAGACAGACAGGGGAGCAATACAGCC